AACCAACCATCAGACAAACTAATAAATAACACAGAAATAACAAGATGCCAAATTGGGCTCCTTTGCCACAAACCCGAAGATTTGAAACACAAAAAAAACCCGGGACAGCTGCAGGGATGTGGCCCAGGGGACGGGTTTATTTGCAGTCTGAAGATGGTTCAAGGTCAGAGGTGGTTTGTGGGGGGCAAAGTCTGCGCCCCTGGGCCGGGCTGGCGAATCCACGTCCTAAATAAAGTCCTTTCGGGGGGAAAATCCAACCAATAATTTATGGGATGGTTTGGGCCACCTGGGTTTGTGTGGAGGAGCTCGGACTCAAATCCCCCTCCGGGGTCTGAGGAGCTGCTCCTGCTCATCAAACCCACAGGGAAAAGGGAAAGGAGGAAGGAGAGAGTCCAAAGCAGAGGATGATTTGCTCCGAGGAATTATGGCCTGAGGAAATGCCAGTCCCACTGGGGTTATCCCAGGTATTTGTCACCCCATGGCAGACCTTTCCTACGTTAATTTTTGGAGGATTTTGCTGCCTGGCTGCTTTTATTCTCTGTCACGCTGTGGTGGATGGGATCCCCTAAAAATGGGATTCCTTAGGGGCAGTTTTGGGGGGCTCAGTCTCTGATCCCAACTCCTCTGCAACGGAGCAGCGCAGAATCCTGGAAGGGTTTGGGTGGGAAGGGACCTTAAAGATCGTCTCATTCCAACCCCCTGCCATGGGCAGGGACACCTTCACCATCCCAGCTTTCCCCAAGCCCCATCCTGGCCTTGCACATCTCCTTGTCTTTCCCAGAGGACCAGGATCCACGGATTTTGTATTTATCCCAGTTACATTCCCACGTGTCTCTGAGTCCACACAACTCTGCAACCCCTTTTTTCGTCTTTCCCTGTCGAAGTTTTCCCATGTCTGTGCCTGGTTCGCTCATCCCTGAGTGGAAATCCAGCTGGGAAGGGAGGGATTTGCCAGGAATGTCCATGGATATGTGTTTGGATGCAGGTCCTGAGCTGGTCCAAAGGACTAAACATGCCTGCAACGGGAAAGGAGAATTCCAGGCTCCCCTTGTGCCCAAGAGGAGGTGGAAAGAGGAGAACTGGGACTCTGGGATGTTCCCATGTTTAGGGTTGGAAAACCCTTTAAAGCAAAGGATTACAACCCCTAAAAACACATCTCTTCCAGGAGCTGCTCTGGGGGAACAGGGAGGCTCCACAGGAGGTGGGAAGTTGGGCAGGGAGGTTTTTTTGTCCGTTCTCTTCCCTTTGCTGATCCCAGCAAGAACCAATTCCCGGGGGGAACCTCAAGTCCCAAACCTCAGGAAGGCAGGAAGTGTGTGGAGCCAAGGACAACAGCTCCTGGAGGCCCCCAAAAATGCTTCCCCCCCTCTCCCAAGGGCCACCAGTAAGGAAAGGTTGGCTCCAGTTTGCCTGGGATTTGTTGTGCTCGGCCTGTTGCAAAAACGAAGGACAGACCTTTCTTCTCCCTCCCCTCCCTCCCACAAATCCCTCCAGGAGAAAAGGACACAAGAAAACTAAAAAAAAAAAAAAAAAAA